TGAGACTGATTTACTGTATCATGTAAGGATAATACACAGAAACAAAGCGGCTAAAAAGGTCTAAATTATTGTTTATTTACAAAACAACCACTCAATTTCTTTTTATACATGATCATGTTGTCCCTGTTTTAAATACTTCAAAAGTCTTACGTATCCAGCAAAAAGAAGATACAGTTAAAATTAGTACAGATTGCATATATGAAAATATTCTTGATCAAGTTACTCTCCGATAGAGTTTTCATTATAGCATTCTCAAAAGTCGTATTGTGTCAGTGACAGACTACAAACGAATTTAACCAAAACAGATACAAATACTGAAGAACAATGAAAACTTGAAGAAAGCTGTCTGAGTTAAATGACAACAAATTTTAAAATTCTGTTTCTTTATTCACTGTAGTAAGTTTACAGAGAGATTGTATTCTCCACTATCGGAATTTTGTGTACACCATAGTATTGTGGCTCAAGCTTCAGAGACTTTTTACAGGAACGTCCACCATTTGATCAGTCAACTGGATCGTCTGAACTTGTGCTCGGCGGCTCCGAATCAGTTGGTGGTGATGTCAGCGGCATCGGACGAAAGACAGAATATCCCGGCATGCCTGGTGGGTGCGGAACTGTGACGGGGTATCTCCACAGGGAGGAGGAAGGGATGTGATCTTGAGCCTGACCTTGAGGGGAGAGGTTTGGACGGACATGGAAGCCAGGATTGGATCCATGGGCCATAGGAATAAAAGCTTGCACTAACAATGTACTAGCTGTAAAGAAATAAGGTCCGGAAAATAACATGGTGATAGTATTGTACGCGGTAACTTTTCAGACAGAAATGTTGCTTTGCAAAAGACTGGATTTCATTAATTGAAATAAATTGGCCTGAATCCTGACTGACCATTCTAATCCACAATACTTCTCTGCTTTCAAACGCCGTTGATAAACCTGATTCGCTTGTACGTTTTGTGGCTAATTTTGAGACAATATACCGTCGAATACCCTTACGTAATTATAAAATGATCTACATTGAACAACAAATCCTACAAGCCGAGTAAGCTTTACTAAGAATTCCTTTTGGGACAAAAAACCAACCATGTGTCACTGTTCTATTTCTATGCTCACATAGGAGTTGTAAACTTCGCAATTTTAATTATGTCGCAAGAATCCTTACCAGGTGAAGCGGAGGGCGCTGGAACAGCAACAGTAAATGGCGCGTCCTGACAACTGGGGCGAGTGTCTAAGGCAGGGCTGCTGCTGGACACTTGCTTTGGTTGTACATGAGGGTCTTTAACCAATTCAGTCTGAACAAATGAAAGTGAGACAAGAACGAGTGATGATACAAACTGGCAAAACCTACAACAATTTAATCTTTTAGGCGTCAATCATGAGTGCATGAAACAGATGTTCTGGGTTTTGATTTTGTGGATCACCAACGATTTATAAAGCAATGCTATTTTATTTCAAATGTGCTTGGTGCGATATGACCGTCAAATAGGGTCTATTGCAGATGATGAAACATATGCATCAATACAGAGATGACAAGCATCTTTGTATGTGAACTCTCTGTGCAGGAAATCAACTAATAGTGGGTTAGTTAATTCCTTACAGTTTTAACGTCATGATTCATGCTTATCTGGAGTTGGCCTAATAAATCACCACCCTCCCTCCCTAAGGGAATGTAACATATACCTCATTTCCACGGTTGAAGGTGTGGTTTATAAGCTGATGTAGAGTCTAGAATGAGGTATATTACAATATTTACAATCTTTGATCAGCGATATGAAGAACTGGATATTCCGGTTCACAGTTTTTCTTGGATATATAGGGTGGGATCTTAGGTGTTTTTTCTAGACCAGGGCGGCAAATGATCTGGTGAAGACTAAGGGATTCAGGGACAAAGCGGCACACCCCTTCCCCCCTTAAATAATCATAGAACCCCACCCGGGATAAAAATCCCAATGTTGTTGGACAATATTTCAACTGTAAAACCTCTCTTGATGGTTATGAGGCCTGTAAGCTTATACACCACAACCTCTCCTTTGCTACCTAAAGAAGCATGGTATTTCGGACAGTTTAGCATCTCGGAATAGACAGCAATAGCTATCCTGTGTCAGTACGGATTACAGGACCGGGTCTACCGTGTAGCCGTCAGTTACTAATTTGAATCATTCTATGTCAACAATTTCATCGACACCACAATGCTATTGTAAAATGTGATTTATTTGTCTTCAGCGATTTATAGTTTCCGCTGACCTCTCCCCCGAGTTGACCGACCGGCAGATGATTTCAGCAAGTTGGGAGTATACGTTCCCTTTTCCTATATAAAGTATGACACTGTTGACAGTGATAATGAGACGGCAGAATGTACGCGAATTTTGCTATACTTACTTCAAACTCATAACGCGTCATCGCGTGTCGGGTTGTGAAAATTGCAACATTTCTGTCAACAATGGAGAGAACTTTGGCCTTCGTTTTCTCGGCCTCTATTCAAAGAAAATGCTTCATTTTTGGAATCATGGGCACCCAACGACAATTTTTGGAAAACATCTGTTCGGAAGACGATTTGAGATCTAGAATTTTCGGAACATTCGTTGTAAATTCTTGCTTGCATGCCTCTCCTAGGATTTTGGAACTCCCCAAAAATGGTATAATTGCCCATTTTTAACGGATTTTTACCCTAAAAAGGTCACCTAGAATTTTCGGGAGCCTTTTTTCTGGCTGAAATTTTCGAAAAGGTAAGTTTTGATCCCTATAATTTTCAGATCAACAGACTTTCAGCTAAGAAATCCGAACAGATGAAATATTTTTAGGGGATAAAAATATGCCTATATCTACCGTTTAAATACTAAAATACGTTCAACAATGCTATGTTTAAGTAATTTTGAACTATATTCTCGTTGGGTGCCCCTGTGGAATTTGAGTTCAGGTTGAGAGAACATTTCAAAGAAGCGATTTTATAAGCATGATCATTTTCTGACTTTCTAATACCTTAAATGAACTGACCATCAGTGACCTATAGGATCCTGTGTCTACACACTTGTGCGTGTCTTTCTGGTAGTGAAGACAAAATTGGCCGACTCCCCTATTAACATGTTCGTTACTAAGAAGAAGCCTAAATAAGTTCGTTTCACGCTGTGAGGTTTATTTTATTTTATCACTGTCTGAAAAGGAAGACTTCGGGAGTCTGCCGTAATTATTACCTCATGAAGAGAGATACGCTCCAACGCAGGTAGAGAGTCTCGCAATTCAGTCTGTGACCCCATTTCCTGCGAAGACAAGGAAAAAGGTTCATCTAAAAAAAAGCTATTCAGAACTGACAAACCAGCTGACGATACAACTTTGCGTGGATATTTCTATGTTTGTTTGCGTTTCAAGAAAGTTTGAGCATGGTTTGCTGTTTTGCTACGAGATTCGGATTATAGGGGGGTGAGGGGTAGGGGGCTCTAAAGGGGACAGTTCTGACAGATCTGCCGATGTTCTTGAATATAATACTAAGCAAAAATGCTAGGAATGCCGTGTTGTCACTAAAATCGCCGCGTATATTTTCAAGAATTACGAAGTACATAAGGCGAACAATGGATATCGTGGCATTATTCGCACCCTTAGCATATTGGATCCTACCTACGTCAGCTCATCGCAAACGGGCAGTTTTTAAACATGGACGGATAATGATTATGTTAATGTTCTCCTCTCTTTTAAAATATCAGTTGAAAAAAAGGGTCGCGTTTGCTTATGAGAGGTGGTCATTTAACAGAGGCTCGCCAGTTTACAAAAGCTTTGACTAACAGAAGTTTGGTATTTTAGAAAAAAAAGGTCACCTACTAGCAATGGTAATAACACAAATGTTTGTTTGCTCTTGACCTACTTGTCGAGAATCAAAGGCAAACAGTCGACACGTTGTTTAATTGTAAAGCAAAATTTTGCTGAAACCATTAACGTTTTTATTTCTCAAAGAAAATCACCTGGTAACACACCTGCTTTTGATTCAGCTCATGTGATTTAGAAAATGGCTGTTCATATTCGATTCCTTCCTCATCCTGTCACAAACGACACACTTAAGCTTTACAACATCCATCTACCCTCTCCAGTGGCCAAACTCATCCCTTGCCCTTACAAGTATACCATACAGAAGTTACTTTTTTGTAAGTGATCTAACCACATTTTTCTACACTGGCTCCAGAGGTCCGTTCTCAGGAATTAGGTAAGAAAAAAATCCTCTGACACCCAGGGTAACATTTTTCATGAATTTGAAGGAGCACAATCCAGAGTTTCTATTAACAGGTCCGATGGTTTAAATTTTAAGAAATACAGAATACCAGATCAGACAGAGCGGTTGAAATCGAGCCTAGAACTACACTTTCCTAATTCCCTGCTATTCGGGGCTTTTAACAAACTACTTGGCCCGGGGAGCGGGCAAATTAGCGGTGTTTTAACACCAAACCAATGTTAAATTCCCCGCTAAGTCCCAGGGGTCGGGGGGCGGGAGTTTCAAATGACTGATGGATAAACTTAAACAAACGAAGCTGGCGACTAACTGGTTGCTGTTCAATCTCTTTTTTAGATGATGAATAAGCTTATTTATACTACTACGTGAGAAATTTCTGCAATTTGATTGGCTTACAGCAATGGTATTTCAGCTTAATTTGAAATACCTACATGTGACAATTACAAACCTTTTGTGGGTAGTAGTATAAACAAATAATAGCATTATTTGTTCGTGATATTTGGCATATTTCAAAATTGTCTCAAATTTCACTCGCCTGACGGCTCGTGAAATTACGTATAACAATTTTGAAATATCACTCGTGGTATTTATGCCAAATATCACTACAAATCATGTTATTACCTATACTAATTCAACTGTAACCCACAGATAAGAACCCGCCTGATCTCGTTTGGCCAACCTGGTTCTTACATTGTTGGGTATTAAAGAAGCAAATTTCTGCCAGCAGGTTATTAAGCCACTAGGTTCTTACACGCGGGTTTTTCCTGTATTAAAAACTAACTCAGTATCACCAACTCGCAAATCCTCCGTAATGGAGACTTATAAACGAAGGCTCCCGAGCGTATTTGATTATCTCTGACGGACAGAAAAATAGAACTGTTCACACAAATACTGAACGTCTTACTAAATATTTAATAAATAAACTTTCACAAAAATAGTTGAGTGATGACTAACCTGCTCCTGTTCATGCGCTGATTCAGGTGATGAATTAGGAAAGAGGGCAGGGTACCACCTTTTCCAGTAGTTCTCTGATGGCCGTTCATGTTCAGGTTTGGGGTTCCCTTCAACATCCTGCAACAAAATACAAAACAATACTAAACCTACTCATCTCATTTTAGTAAAGTGTGGACGTGTACACATTTCAAAACCTTCATTTTAAGTCCGATGCGATTACACTGACCAACGAAAGAGAGTTGTTAATAAGAAAACAACTTTGACAAGATGTACTAAGTTCAAAACAAGCCTCGCGTGCCGAAAGTAAAGATCACCAGTCAAAACTTGGCCTATATAATAAAAGGCAGTTTGTGACTGCATGTGGCTACTGTTTTAGTTTTGTAGAATATATTGCAATAAAAAAGGAATGAAAATTGTAGGAAACGATAGAAATTCAGATTGTTTATCCATAAATTTACTATCTTTGCTCTAGAAGGTATATATTTACAAAACATCAACAACAACTGACAAACTATTTTTAAGCGTCTTTACAGGTATTTGCTGAGAGAACTTTTTCCTAGCGAAGATTTTGACTTCTCTTGCGTGATGATAAGGGATGTGGGGGAGGACCCTCTCTCTCCGGCGTTGCGTGACATAGAGAGAGAGAGAGAGGGGGGCAGAACTGCGCTAGACACACGGTGGTTACGCCTTCTTTGTGTGGTATGTTGGTGTAGAGGCGAAGCGCTGAAGGTGAAAAACTTCCTTTACGACTAAGTTCAAGAAACGAGTGTTACCCGTCGCCAATATTTAAAGAAAGTTTAGGGAGGAGGGAGATTTATCCCCCCTGTACCCCTCCCCTCTTGGCGGGATTGGAAAGAGAAACATTATCTCTATAGAGGCGAACGAACAAGAAATTCGCATTCAAAATAGTGGAATCAATATCAAAATAGCAAATCCTTTTTCTTTTCTTTTGAAAATATATTCCGCCTTACAAAATTCGCAGATCACAGTGTATTTTTTTGCGGGCGGGAATTTGTTACGTGATAAAACGACAGGCGGGAAAATGTCATCACGTGAAAAATCATCCGAGGTGATTTAACCAATCAGCTGCCGCCACGTCACTAGGCTTTGAATGACATCGTTTGTTGTTTTTGCAGTTTGTTCAGTTCGGTCTTCAACGGCAAACTGTTCAGGACGAACTCAAAATTTAATAAGAAAACATCACGGAAATTATTTTACACAAGACAGGGATTCATCTCTTTTTACTCAGGAATATGCTAAGGAGTTGTTCGAAGCTCAAGGAAACATCATTTTTAAGGATATTTTACGAAAGCGCAAAGCTCCGCAGGATTTGATTTGTATGGCGAGTGTTGTTGGAAAATTGAAAACAAGCTTATACTTACGCGATGAAAAGCATGCAATGAACACTTATGCTACAAAGTGGAGAACAGCGAAATGTTTACCTGTAACGAAAATTTTTTTGGTGTTGCTTTCAACCGTTGTCTCGGAGATACAATTTTTTTGTGCGGGTTGTTATTTCAAAAACCAACGCTTCACCGAACTGCAACGACCAGTATTTACCAAACAAACGCTCAGGAACTAACAAAAGAACAGCTATAAAAAAGACTTGTTTGTTTTTTGGACTTTCAAAGGAACTTCACTTGACTTAAACTGATTTTATAGGAGCCTTGGACGATAAATGTGAAACTGTGAGTTCAATGTGTTTACTCTTTGCTTATTTGTTTGAATTGAACATGAACTGAACATCTTTCATTTGCTTTTATGATTGTTGTTTGTTACTTTATGAAAAGGTATGAATTAAAATTGATTCAGAAATTAATACTGTCGAAATTATGTGCTTTTGTTTTGCTGGAAGTTCATGTTTTCACCCAATAATTTCACCTTATGGCTGCTTGAAGATACGGAATTTCTTTTCTTGTGTTCAACTCCATGTTTTAATATCAGCTGAAGTTACTTGTTCTTAACGTTCTCAGTTAAAACATTTTATGGAGTTAGTTTAATCAGTTGAAAGAAATGAATTTGAAATGATACTTTGAATCTGCTTAAGTTTGTGATTTGTTTTCAAAAGCAAATCTCGTGTTTTGTCGAGTATAAAAATGACCAAGAAGGCATGGCGAAAGGCAAGAGCTGAGTAGAAATAAACTGTAAACATAAAATAAAGAAACAAATTGCGATAAAATTGGAAAACTTACGTGGTAGGATGACCACAGTTCAGTGATGTTTCCGTGCTGCTGTACAGCTGATGTGAGATTCATCACCTGCTGTGGAATCATCTTCACATCTGAAAGCCCCAGTCCCTCCAGGTGAGGAGCGCAGCTGAGATGTTTTATCAAGCTGTCGACTCCTGCACCCAGAAGAGGATTGGATGACATGTTGAGCAACTTCAAGTTTGGAAGATCTTGTTTGAATACTCTGCTGATGAACTCCACAGCAGGTGATGATGTTACATTGATACACTTGAGTGCTAATATATCCAGTTTGTGTGTTGTTGGGATGCTCCTCAGTAGAGACTCTGTTACCTCAGCATCAAACACTTCACCGTTTTCACCCCAAACCTCTATCACGTGTGGAGCGGTGATAAACGGCATCATCTCAATCAGCTGTTCCACATCTGACCTGTTCACATACAAAGCTACAATCCTCCGAACCCTGGAGAGACCATGACGCTTTGAACAACAGCTGCTGCTGCTCTCTTCACTTGACTCATCACCATTCATGTTTGTCTTCTTTGTTGTCTCTTCTAAACTAACTAACGTCTTTACCATTTTAAAAGGAAGAGAAGAAATGCCATGATATGTACGTTTTACAATTTGAGTAAAATAAAGGTGAGTGTTGTTTTCTTCTTTCATCAAGAAAAACTCGTCAACACTACGCCATGGAAATACATTCAAAAATTCTGATGCTTTTTGTTCTCCTGTTCTGCTAACTATAACAGCATTTAATTGCTGTACTAAAGTTATTAAATGATTATAACTTTGCTCTGTATACTGGTTGCTATGAGAGAAAAATATGTACATAAGTGAAGCGGTAGTTTTAACAAAATTTTCCTTTGCTGCAATATTCAGCTGCTCAGGATTTAAAATGAACAAAACACCTCCTATATTAGAAAGAAAAGTGGGGAAAAGTTCTGTTCTCGTGTCTGCTGAGCAGTAGAAGAATAACTGTGTGCATAGAGTTAAAAGATTTTTTTGTGTTTCTGACAAATCTTTGACTGACGGTGCTTGGTTGTCGAAGCTGTACTCTCCGTCTTCCTTCGCCGCCATTTCCAACAGATGAATCAAGATCTCTCGCGCGGCTTCTTCTGACATTTCAGCAGCAAATTTTAAAACTTCATGTAACTTGAAGATCTTTTCAATAGAGTCGACTTTGAAAAAGGAATTGTTTTTACTTTCTTGGGATAACAGTTCTTCTTTTAGAAATAAAGAGGCCAAAAACTCCTGCAGGGATTTGTGAATGAAGTGCACGGCTTTGCACCGCTTGTGAGCTGTCATGTTTAGGAGCTGAAACAACCCGGCCTCGATCAGTTTCTCGGTCAAAACCTGATCCGACAGTTTACTGACAGGAAAATAAAGTAGATCTTGCAGAAGTGCGTCAAAGGCTAATTCTCCTAATTTACAGAGTTCTTGTTTGTGGTCGTCAACTTTTTGCGCCGGCTTTTCTTGTTTCTCAGACATATGATCAAACAAAGTCTGAATGAACTGAAAATATATCATCGGCCGTGATGAAGGTAGTCCTTCACGATCTCTCTCTTTCCAAACCGACAACAACATCAAAAGCAAAATAGGTATTTTTGCTACGTCCTGTAGGTCTTGTTGCTTTAAGTATCGAAAAAATTCCTTAACATCTTGATCATCTTTCAAGAATCTACGGGCGAACTCTTCTTGTCGCTTACGGTCGAAACCGTCGATCTCAAATTGAGCGTCGCTGGAAGTTTTCAAATCCTCCCCTTTCATGTCTCTAGACGTTATAATAACACAACAATCCCTCAACTGCTTTTTCTGCCAGATTCTAAGAACAGGAGATTGCCTTTCTGCGCTGTGTACGTATTCATCGTAGCCGTCCAAAATGAGCAACACGTTTTCTTGGTGGTGACGAACGTAATCGTACAGGTTGTCAGTGGAAATCGGGCCATCACTCGCGAGAAGATTAGCATTGCTCAGAATGCCTGGGACATCGCTGAGGTTGCAAACATCGCGTAATTTGACCAAAAGTACAAGATCAAATCTTCCTAACTTTCCTTTAAATCTGTGCTGGGACCAGTCGAATGTAGCTTTCTGCGTAAAAACGGTCTTGCCGATTCCTGGTCGTCCGTGAACCAAAATGCGCTTAGGCGTATGATGAAGTCTTCCGCCGTCAAAAAGGTTGGTGTAGTGTTCGAGTTTCTTCTGGGTTACTCCGCTGGGCTTCTTCTCATCCATAAGCCAAGACAACTGGGTGTAAATTTCATCGATATGAACGGCAGAGCTTTGGTCCCACGGAACGATTTTGACTTTGCTGTTGGTTTCATAAATTGATCGCAGCTGTTTCTGGCACTCCTCGAGGCAGAGAGAATCTGTTAAAGAAAATTTTACGTTCCTTTTTTTCAAGAATTGTTCGTTATAATAACTTGATATCTTAATAGGTGAAGAAAGTTAAAGGGAGCTAGTTGACCAGCACAAAATATAAGCCTTCACTGATATCAAACAGAGAAGTGAGTAACAGTGCAAGTTGATATGAGGGCTTTAAAACACCAGAATATAAAGAGATCAATGAAGAAATATATATACTATGGTCAAACGTAGAAGGAATATGAAAAGGAACATTGCCCCACGCACAGAGCCTCAGAGAGGACACGCCCATAGAGGGGTACCTCTCCAAAGCTGTTAGTGACGTTTTTGTGGTTGAGTGCTAAAAAATAATTCTTATTTTGTATAACTGACCTCGAGGATTAACGCAGGTTAAAAATACCTTAGCAAAACTCTAACAGAAAGATTGAATGAAAGAAAGAATTTGACGCTTGAAGTATCACATCATACTTCTTCGTTGCTACTTATTTTGTAAATAAAAATAAACAACTGCGACAGTAAAGATCATTTTGTATTGCAATATAACAAACGATAAAAGTCATTTTCATATTAAAATAAGCGTTTTTAATCTACTGTATGTCTGGTACCATTTCTGCTTTATTGGATATAATAGTACCTGGCAACTCCTTCTTATTGGCCGCAGAGCTAGAGGGCTGTTTCCTTGCTGACGGGTCTGTGAGTTAAACAAAATAGCATAGAAATTGAAGTGAGACATTTAAAACAACAGTTATTCAAAAGAATTTGGGGAAAATGTTTATCAATCTGTCAGTTTTTTGCTACCCACATCTTAGGTTCTAGGTCTGAATAATAAAGTTTCAACAACAAAAAGCACCGAGCAGCTTGTCTTGGGACTGAAAGCTTACATCTCAGCTTTTACTTAATTGTGGGTGATACTGACATTTTAATTCACTAAAGGATGCCTGGTCGCAGTGTGCACAGTTTTAGAAAATATATTTATCTTTTAAACTTGCTTTTGCAGAATTTCTGCTACACATTAAGTTGATTCTGAAAGGTATCTAGTGAACAGTTGCAGTTCAAAAACATTTTCAAAACAGAACACAAGTCCCCCAAATAATTTTCCTGGCCCTTTCAAATCCATAGCAATCAACCAATCAGAGGGTAGAGTTCTAGAATGATCTCAAACCAGAAAATAAAGCCTGCAACGCAGAGAGCTTACTAATTAGGGTTCAGGGCTGTTACTATGGTTTTAAGTTGCCGAGTAGGGAATAGAACATCCTGGAAATTCTTTTGGTCCTATTTTCCTATTATTTCCTATGAAAGTAACCAAGGGTCATGCTCACAGCAGCCAGGAGAAATCCATGCCTGTTGGCCCTTAGTGAAATCCCAGTAAAGTTGGTTGCTAGTGTACTTAGGGCGTGGTGGGGGAAGGCGGGGCAGAAGGAAACAATACCCTATTAAACAACTGTAGTCTGCGAGCGGCAGACGTTTCTCATCGCTTATCGCTGCTGAGGGACATTTCGCGAGGAGGAACGTCTGCGACTCAGCGACAGAAATTCGATACTGATGACGCAAAATCTGTCCAGAATCCGGTCAGAAGCGCTAATTGGTCGACGGAGTAGTTTTATTGTTTTAGCTTTTGTTTACGAATGACAGGCAAAAGACAAAAAGCGGCAAAAGGTCAAATGTAAACGCGATGAATCTCTAACAAAACAGCCAATATCTGTGGAATAAAGTCTTCTCTAGAAGAAGCATTTGAGTTTTGCTGGAGCTCATTCGCAGATGAACACAACACTTTACCAAAATCGACCAGGAGAAACGTAAAATTGAACAAATTTGCATTTGGAAACCCATGACTACCGGATTTATTATGTAAACATTGATTTACGTCATCAGTATGGAATTTCTGTTGCTGAGTCGCAGACGTTCCTCCTCGCGAAACGTCCCTTAGCGGCGAAGAGCGAGGAGGAACGTCTGCCGTTCGCCGGCAGGCTAAAACAACTGAGGTGCTACTGAAAAAAAAAATTTAAAAGTATCCCTAGAAGATACAAGAATCTTGCTTTGTCAGCATGGAAGAAATTCAGTTTAAGCTCTACAAAAGGTACCAAAAGGAGGAGGAGATACTCCGCTTTAGAAATAGCAGAACTGCTTTACAAAAAAAAATTGAAGATAACAGGAGTCCTTGTCAAAAAAAAATAATCATCATCATCATCATCATCATCGTCCCTAGAGGGTAGCAGAATCTTACTTTGTGGGCATGGCAGAAATTCACTTTAAACCCCTGGGAGATACCAAAAGGAGGAGATACCCCTCTATAGATATAAATGGGGTGCTTAAAAAACAACAACAACAGAAACAAACAAACACACAAAACAAAAACAGGGGTTTTATAAAAAAAAATATCCAAAAGAACCCCTAGAAAGTAAGAGAATCTAGCTTTGTGGGCGTGTAGGAAATTAATTTTAATGCCTAAGAGGTACCAAAAATTACTTGAGAAACAAAATAATTCCCACCCAACCTTACAGGCCCCTAACAGATACCACTGAAGCTCTAATTAAACAAGGGTCAGTTTAGACTTTAGGTCGCTAAGTATGCACTTACCCAGTACCAACCCACAAATCTTACTGCCTAAAATAGTATGATGAGCAGCCGGTCAATTTTATCAGGAAACATCTCCCTCCTGTCCTCCCGACCGATTTCTTCACATTTTTCTCATAATTTTTCTTTTACCTATGTTATAGTTTCCAACAGTCGTGAGTTGACAAAGAAAACATTGAACTCTATCCTTTTTCAAGTTTATTGTGATTAATAATAAGGTTTGAAAGTTGTGGCTGAGTATTTTTAAATCAACCTCAGTACTTAACCATAAACACTTCTACTGCACGAAAAATTAATTATGATATGGTTTAATTAAAGGACATGTCACCTACCTTCATAATGAGGCCATTGCTGAAACACAAATGAATCCTTCAACATGTTGCACACAAGAGAAGCTGCCATTATGCATGCATGACTCTCCCAAGACTTTTCTGCAGGGTTGTTACCATCGGCAAAGTGAGAAATACCTTTTACAATCACCCATTCAATCTTAAGATCATGTGCTGCAGCAAACAGGCCTGGAAAAAACAACAAAAAATGATTAAAAATTAAATTTCAATACAAAGAGAGATCAATTTATGCAAATAGATCCCCTTAAGTGAGCGTCACAGCCAGGGTTGATCAAGATGTGACAACATAAACAGAATTATTTACCATGCAAATGGGTAGGCAGAAAATGATAATAGTGATTTTAAAAGGCAGATATAAACAGCATAAATAAAATAATACAAAACAGGACAAATAAATAGGATCTTAGTAGAATTTAACTTTCCTTCTGTATTTTATCCAAAGGAAAACATTATTTAAAATGCTGTCCTCCAATCAATCATTTACGCATACTTTAGTATAGAAAAATGTGGCAAATTAAATAAACATCAGCTATTTTGAGAAAGATTGTCGCAAAAAGTGCACGCGACAATCCCGAAAGGTATATGTGGGTAGCTTTGAGTTCACTGTATATGTTCTCTAAAGAAATTTGAAAGAATGGCACAAGAGGCCATGGACATAACATGTTTGCGAGTGCTAAAGGAAAGGAACAAAAGTAGGCTCAAAAGCCACTGTTGTCAGGAACAGTGTATAATTTGATCATGCTACCTTTCGGGACTGTCACGTGCACATTTTCTCCGACAACCTTTCTTGAAATAGCTGTAAACATCATTGTAAAAACCTAGAACTGATCTCAATGGATCAGACCGAAAACAGGATCACAAGAAATAATAACCAGCGCCTCTATATACGGTACACCTTAATTGGTGAAGGTCGGGGACAAAGTGAAGCATAAGTTTGTTTTACAATGAGAAAAACAACACAACAGCAGGACCCCAAACCTGGACCTCCAGATCTAAAGCAGGGGCGTTATAAGTAAAGGCATTTGTAGTGTTGTGACTTGACTTTAAATTGTGCAGATTTGTTGCTGCCTGTCTCGCTGTTATTCAGCATTGTTTTTGCACATAAAATACAACAGTTTGAGAAGAGGAATGTGATAAATTCTAAATATTCTTAAAATGTTTGCCTTCATGTGATCCCACAATACACCGCGTATTCATGAAAATTGGAAAAGAACTGACCCTGACTGATCATCATTCCGTTTAAGATTTATCTGGAACGTTTTTGCATTCAAAAATTAGGTTTTCATTTTTTAGTTTCTCTCTCTCTCTCCATAAATGTTGAAAAAGTCTATCATCAAAGACTACTTTAATGTCCCTCAACTGGAAAATCATGGACCACACCAAGTCGACAATAATCTACGTAAGCTGAATCAAACTATTAGGTACACATTTTCTGTTTGGCGCGGTATCAACAAGAATTTTGCAGGAAGTTCACTCCTATTGTAAAGAAGTCTGTAACCTGCCAATTATGTATTAAAGGAAAGCAAAAACGTTATTACTTTGTACAAAGTTTTTAAAACCATATAGACCTGGTGCGTACTTGTCAAAATGGTCACGCTTTGCCCCTGTGAAGTTTGCAATATTCACCACTAGGCCACCATGCCTCTTGTACAAAAACGAAACAAGGGAGAAAAGAAGTCATTTATCAGGGAATAAAATTTATTCCCTGAAAAATGACTTCTTTTTCTTAATATCTTACCTTCACCACCGATTTCAAATGCAGTGGCTTGAGTAAAATAAGACATGTTTTGCTGTTTAGCACTGACTGGGTTTATGCCACTTAAAATCTCCCCATCACAGCAGACCTGAACTTTATGATCTTCTGGACATTTTAATGGAGGAATCCAGCCATAATCTGCATGCCTGACAAGGTGCAAGATATCTCTTCCCACTGGGGTTTTGAAGGCTTCAGTTAAAAGCTTAGAGGAAACAACCACGTCACCTAGCTGTAACTTGGTGACTTCTGGGTTCAACCCACCGCAGCAGCCAACAGAGAAAACAGCTTTGGGTCTCAGTTCCACTACGGCATTCTTAACAGTAACCAGCGAGCCATCTGGAGCAGAAGAACCTTCAGAACATTTTATCAAAGCAACTTTTAGGGGCACATCTCTACTTTCATCCATGTTCCCAAAGTACACATATCCAAGGTTTTTGAGGTAGCTTTTAAAGGCATTTCTCAGGTATGCAAAACAGGCTAGGAACTCACAGTCATCCACTGTCAACAAAAGAATGTCAATTGGAAGATGGACTTCATTCCAAGGTTTTAATGTGTTAGGAAGATCACTTTTCTTGGGAAGTTCTAGGGTGAGTGAAGGTGGAACATCTGCCATATTCTTCAGAGCGTTATCTCCTTTTCCTATTAAGCTCTTGGTGCTGTGCCACGGTGTTGTGATTATCAATTTCCCTAAAATGTCAAAAAGTAAGATCACAAATTATATTTAAGTTGCACAATAGGTTAGAAAGAAAAGATTGTAAATCACCACGTACACACGCTTTGGGAACTGAGAGCTTTATTTACAACAAAAACACTTAGATGTAAGTAAATAAACCTGAGAGAACTAATCAAAACAAATACTTAAACCTACAGTCAAATCACGGGACGGGACGGCATGGGATGGGAAAATTTGTATCTGCACTTTGCCTATAATCTCGCTTCCATGATCTTCTTGATTATGCTATAAAATGAGTGTATACCTGAGGAGCTTTGCTATTACAACTAAATTTACAAAACCTTATGGCTATCTGATTGGTTACTTAAAATCTTGTGACTATCAGCTATATTGTTAGTAGTATTTTTACATCCTTAGTGTATTTCACCGATGGCTAGTTAAAGCCCACAAGACTTTATGTATGCTACTTTGGGGGGTGGTCTAGATTTATATTAATACAAGTATCAGTATCCACATAAGTGACAAAATAGCCTGCGTAGCAAGCGTTTCCTCGCGAGGTTCGTCTAGAAGGCTGGGACAAGAGCAAAAAAAAATGAATGACGGGGGAGGGGGAGGGGAATGAAGGAACCGCTTGCCCGCAAACCCCACGATTTTGAAAAACTGCGTTTGTGGGCGAACGCAGCTTCTGATTGCCGCGGTGCAGGTAGTGTTGATTACTTTGCATTCAAAACATCAATCAAACCAGGTATGCTTTGTTTTCGTGCGTCACACATCTGGTCTCATCTGATTTGTGGTCGCAGATTACAAATGTTTTGGACTATATTTATTGGAATCGTGTTTGTGCGAAGTTTATGAGATCAGAGTCTTCAAAGTATAATTGGAGATCGAGCAGTGGAGACTAGGGAAGGCCAATTTATCGAGAATGACGGCGTGCGGATCTGACTGGAAAAAATGGACTGTTTGTTGGAGATAACATCAACATGAATCAGAACATCGGTACTCGACACTAGCTGAAGCCGCCATGAACAAGCGATTTGTCAGCTTTTTGAAATGAAAAGATTCTTTTTGTTTATTGGAAATTTAGCGGCATCTAATGTAGAGAACGTTTCGACACAGGCTGAAGAGCAGCCGCTCTGCAAAACTTATACCCGGCGGAGTGAATTGTGTCGGACAGATCATTTTTGACGTGTCGATAAGGTTTCAGACAAGATAAAGCCACACAATAAAAAACAAGAAATTCCACAGCAATCGCTCATGGTTTTAACTTTCTTTTATCGTAAATCTTTTTTATTACAGTTCTTGCCATCGCCTGCAACGTATTCTATTAGAGATCAAAGTAATTTTACAAATCTGGTAATACAGGCGTAATCTGTTGGTTATGTTTCTATTTTGACGAGCTGTCAATTTACAAATGAACCGAACCGTGAAATATCAAGGGGCGTTTTCCAGAATCATGGGGTTTGCGGGCAAGCGTTTCCTCTTCTCCCCTCCCCCTCCCCCTTCAACCTTTTTTTTGCTTCCGCTCTAACTTTCGCCCAATAACTCGATTGGAAACGCTTGCTACGCAGGCTAGTGACAAAAATCTCTTCCTCTACAGATATGTTTAATTAACTCTCCTGTAACCATACACCCTTAGGACCAGAAAGTGCATTTGCTTAAGAAAGGCATCCACTTAGGGTCATTTCTCTGAAAATGAACCACACTGACTTCCCTCTATGTGAAATTCAATAGAACAATAAATTGCATGATGACGTCATTTCACTGTAACTACTAGCATCCCTCAGTTTGTTGTTTTCTAATGCAAATTAGGACTAATTATTTTTTAAAACTCAGCGGGATTTGAGAAGTTTAAATGCGAAAGCAAAAAAGAAATGAATTCTGGAAGTTGTAGTTATATAAATGTTGTCATCGTGAAAAATGGCCCATTCCTAACAATCAGTGCTTCTTGAACATTAAAGTGAAAACAACTTCTTAATGTGAGCATTGTAACTTCCTTAGTGAAACTATCAGATTTTTGCTGTTAAACTTTTCTGCAAGGATAAATTAAGTTGGTATCCCAGACTGAGCTACTGACATTCCGCCTGAACTTAATACAAACCAGAATCCACTGACTCACATGCTACTCTAATTCATTATCTTCTAACTGCCCAATATTATTATATCTTTCTAGCCAGAAACAAGTCTGACACTCCTATAATATGGAGGTTTTCATTGTCCACCTTGGATCCAAAATTCGATGTGAAAGAAGAATAATGAAGTAAAAAATGGAAAACACTCCAAAATTACAGAAATAAGTGGACCTATGTGGTGCATTTCTGATACGCATTGTGACTATTTAAAGTAAATTCTACAAATGAGCACTTCTTTGTTTTCGATCTTTTATATACACCTTGTGGCATTTAGAATGCAGAAAATAAGGAAATTAAATGGAAGTGCTCATGCTCATATTTGAGATACAGTGGACTCCTGATAACTCGAACCCTAGCTTAAATCTCGCGCTAACTTAAACCAAAATCGATTTCCCTTGGATTTCATTCATACGTTTACTGTAATTTTACCCTCAGTAACTTGAACCCTCAATAACTCAAACCTTCCACTAACTCAAAGTAATTTTTTTTACCCTTCAGGTAATTTCTATACAATAATATTTTACCCTGTCCTTCAATAACTTAAACCAAGTTTTAAGCGCATCACTATTGGAAGAAAAACGCAGTAAACTGCAGTCCAAAACATCGAACATCTCTCAAAACAATTGTGTATTCTTTCTCTTTAAGCTTCTTTAATTTTTGGTTGGCCCATTTCAAATACAATCTTTACTGATTAATCAAGCTTTGTTGCTCAATTTCTTTTTTAAAATATCAATCTTACCATATTGTCACTTAATTAAACAAGTATTAAAGTTCACAAAAAATCATGAGCCATATTTCAAGAGTACTGTATGTAATTTCGTGATTTTTAGGGATTTATAGGGATTTTTAGAGAATAATTTCTATGGACTTTTACATTTTGCGAGTACTAAAAAATGAGTTCTAAATAACGGAAATTGCATTTCAATACTTTGTCTTGCAAAATTAAGTGAGAACAAGATGCTATTGAAGCATACACTTGGCCGTCATGGTATCATGCGTATGTGAGGATTTTTTGTGTCAGGCACATGTGACTGCCACAATGTTGTTAATAATGTTAAGGGTTGGTTGAAATGGGTGAAAATGGATGTTGCTTAGTATATACATAGCTTAAAATTTTTGCTCACAATTCCTGACATAAATTGCAGTGGCTCACCGAATAGCAAATGCGCACAACTACCAAGAAATGGTTTTGAGTGGCAAATGAACGTGCGAGTGAGCTCTCACTTTCTTTCCCCCACCTTGCTCCTGCATCTCCTTTTGCGTGCCACTCTCATGTTACTTCTCTTGATATCCCTTATGCATCAGTCAAATCCAACTGTGCCCATCCACCCCGCCCCCGCCCACATGTACCTTGTCAGTCCTGGCAGTGGGGTATTAGCAAATTTTGCATGGTTCAGGGTCAGGTGGGGTGCCCTGGAGCTTTTGACATGCACATGGTTTCCTACCCTAATAGTTTATAACCATACATGGAAGATTTTAGAGCAAGCACAAGCAGATTGGCAGATTGGCTCATCTATCAAGGAGCAAAAAACTTGTAGAGGTTTTTAGAGGCATGTTTTCTCAATTTATGCAAGCATTTCTTCATTGCTTTATCAAGACAGAATTTACACTGCATGAAAGAAGGTATCAACATATGTGAATCAATGTTTTTTTTTAATTGAATCAAATTTCTTTTGATCTAGGATTTGAATAAAATGTAGGGGTGTACACCACTGTATGATGTGTCTATTATTGAAGAACTTTCTTTCATATTATTAAACTATTCAGAATAGATTGCTTTATACATTATTATTGATTTGAATTTTATGTCACTTTTCTTTGCGTACAAACTATTTTACAACAAGTAAAATAACAACGCTAAAATAAGAATCATGAATGGTTTTGTTGCAGTTTAATAAGAATAGCGCTATTACATGAAAGGCAGACGTTAACTGAAACAAATTTCACATTAAAAAATGCTTTAAGTGGCACTTTTCCACTGTGCGATCAATGAAAACTTCTACAGTGTGGATTAAGGACGGTGCAGTTGCCCTCTAGTTTTGTCCCCACCGTGGGGCATTTGGCAGCCATAGTGTCCCATGCTAATGCCCGGGGGTTAGCCCCAGGGTGGGGGGAAGGGCTAGGTGCAGTTGGATTTGACTAATGCATTAAATGGAGAGCTTGCTCTCAGGCTGTTTAATTACAGTTTTCATTGTTGTGAGAGATGGTTGCATTGTCATCATAATGGCTCAGTTAATTCCAAGCATACCCATACCCCCAAAAGCATTTGTCAAGTGTTGAAATATTTGGGTTCAGCAAGAGCAAACAAAATTGGTAAACTCAACAAAGACGTCTTTGTCCAGCATTTTGTAGTTTTAAATTCATTATACAGATTATAAAACAGTTTGATAACAGCAACAATCCAACATTAAAAAAAAATTACATCAATGAAAAGGAAACAGGTAAAATGTTCTGGCCTTCTCCTTTGAAGGAGATGTAATGCAAATGGTATAATAATTATGTTCTCAAGGACTGATGGCTGCTCCGGGCAAGACACACAACAGAAACACCTTGGTATTCTAATGATCATCTTTTCAATAACACTTTTCAGAAACAACTCAAAGTCTTCCACCACTCTTGAAAAACAATATATTCCCAATTCAATGAAAGCACTGTGCCTGGTAAAATGAAAAAAAAAAAAAAAAAAAGGATAGAAAACATAAAAGATAGTCCACCCTCACTTTTAAAGATATCCAAACTTCAGGGAAAAACGAGTACTCCGTGGGTACTCCGGTTTTCCCCTCTCCTCAAAGACCAACACTTCCAAATTCTAAACCAACCAGGTGCAGGAACCACTTTGTGGATGTGCTACCTCCAAATCATTATTTATTATTTATTTATCAACGACACTACAATATCCTAAGTTTTGGC